CGGGGGCAATGGTGAAATTCTGCCGGTTCTGTCTGGCTCGCGTGAACCGGTAGTAGCGGTGGTGCGTGGTTCAGTGAACTGGTAGCGGCGGCAAAGCAAGGGTCCGCCCACCCGCCCAGGCATCATTACTTCCTGGTTTTAACCAGTCTTGACCCTCTGTGCATGTGCAGAAGGCTTTGCGCATGCGCAGAGGGTAAAAAATCGGACCATACGATGATGTGTGCGCACTTCTGAACAAGTAGGGAAAGTAAGTAGATTTCACCCCTGGGGGGAGGGTGTCTTTTAAATGCTTGTATCCCTATTTTATTAGGACTTAACAAAATTGCTCCTCACAACATATTTTCTTGAGTTATCCCAATGACAATAGCCATAAGCGCAGCAAGAAAGGACACCTCTGAATACAGGTAGGCCTCGATTGAGCCCAAAATTTATGCTGTTAAGGAAGACAGTTGTTAAGCAAGACAGTTGTTTAAGTGAGTTGTATGTCATTTTACAACCTTTTGACACAATTTCTTCACAAATCACTGAAATTGTTAAGTGAATTGTGTGGTCATTAATTGAATCTGGCTTTCCCCATTGACTTTGCTTTCAGAAGCCAGCTAGGAAGGTTGCAAATGGAGATCACATGATTCCAGAACAGCACAACCATTGTAAATATAGGTAGTCCTTGAGTTACGACCACAATTGAGCCCAAAATTTATGTTGCTGAGTGAAACATTTGTTAAGTAAGTTTTGCCCCATTTTACAACTTTTCTTGCCACAGTTGTTAAGTGAATTAACATTTGTTAAGTTAGTAACATGATTGTTAAGTGAATCTGGCTTCCCCATTGACTCTGCTCATTAGAAGGTCGCAATAGCTGATCACATGATCCCAGGACACTGCAACTGTCATAAATATGACTCAGTTGCTAAGCATCTGAATTTTGATCATGTGACCATGAAGATGCTGCAATGGTCGTAAGTGTGAAAAACGGTTATAAGTCACTTTTTCACTGCCTTTGTAACTTTGAGTGTTCACTAAATGAACTATTGTAGGTCAAGAACTACCTTTACATGTCAAGTGCCTGAATTTTAAACATGTAGCCCTGGGGATGCAATAGTCATAAGTGTGAAAACTGGTCATAAGTCATTTTTTCCAGTGCCATTGTAACTTTGAACAGGAAGTAAACAAATGATTGTAAATTGAGGACTATCTGTTTTAATACTAATTTCACATTCTTATTCAAACCAGATCAAAGGCATGGCCCAATTTACTCTAAAGCTATTTTTTAAAAAATTCATTATCTTTTCAAACCCCTACTTTATATTTTACCTGTATTTGGAGGCTGTATTTAGAAGCTACAGTTTGTTTCAGGAAGAGTTAAGGAAACCTTATCCTGCAGAATTGACATTACTTTTCCTATCACTATCAGCAGTTATCTTTCAGGATAAATTCTCAATTCTTGTCATTCAGGACACTGACCCTCTTCTCATATCCCTTCCCTCCTTATTGCTCAAAAGAGATTCAATCCAATTTCCTATGTACCCTAGCCAGCAAGTAAGATATAAGTTGCCCCATTCTGATTGGCCTATATACTAATTAATCCATTTCTCTGCATTTTCCGCATTAGAACATGAACTTAAGAATCTGCAATCTTCATGTTCCTCTTCAGCAATTAATCAGCTCCAGCCTGAAATTATATTTTTACTGGAGCTAAAACATATGAAGAAAGATTGTTGGAATTGGGTATGTCTGGTTTAATGAAAAGAGGCACTAGGACGGACATGATAGCAGTGTTCCAATATTTGAAGGGCTGCCAGAAAGAAGAGGAGGGGGGGTGTCCATCTATTCTCCAAAGCACATGAAGTCAGGACAAGAAGCAATGGATGGAAACCAATCAAGGAGAGAAGCAACCTAGAACTAAGGAGAAACTTCCTGACAGTTAGAACAATTAATCAATGAAACAACTTGCCTCTAGAATTTATGAATGCTCCAACACGGGAAGATTTTAAGAAAAAAATTGACAACCATTTGTCTGAAATGGTATAGGTATCCTGCCTGAGCAGGGATTAGACTAGAAGACTTCCATAGTCCCTTCCAACTCTGTTATTCTCATTCTGTTTTCAGAAGATTATGTCAAACTTCCATTTCATGTCTCTGTAAAACCTCATTCCACACTACCTTTTAGCTCCAAAGATTTCTGTTGTTCTTTTGTTTGGCAAGGGCTTCCATCTTTCTTCCAATTATACTCCACCCAGCCCTGAGCCCCTTCAAGCCACCCAAAGGAAGCTTTTTCTTGTCATAAATCAGGTCATCTATGCAACAGCAAAAATAAACTTTCCAACACTTTTTATAATCATGATTATTTTTACTGTTTGCTCACTGAACCATCACAGTGTTGAATACATAATATACTAGAAACAGTCTGAAACTACCCATATGTTTCAGCCAGAGAAAAATGAAACAGCAGGAGAGAGAGGGAGAAAGGGATGTTATTCTACAAAAAATTCCAGATGGAGCATATCAGATTGAAAGGTATGTTTTCCCTTATAATGCTGCTTTACATTTTTTTTCCTGAGAAAGTAAACAGCTGTTTGTTTATAGAGCTGAAAATTAAGGTGTGAATTTGGACAGAACATTAGAGGGACAGCAACATTTGTTCCTTCGTCTTGCATTTATCTTCCTAGATTATTCTGGTTGCTGTTTCTTGGTCACATAAGGTGCTGAAGTTATGCATTCAAATGTGATGTAAATTGACTTTCAAAATAGAATAGGTTTCTAAAGAATTCATATTAATTTGAGGAGTTGTAATGCAGAGTACAAAACTGGCATGTAAGGTCTTTTGGCTTCTAACTGCTCAGTAGAGGTCCAGTCTCAAATCTTGACAAACCCAAATAATTAGTGAAATAAACAAGACAGAATAAATGGCATTGGTTAAAAGGATTGAAAAAATATTAGGAAAGGAATGGAGTGGAATGGAATGGAATGGAATAGAATAGAATAGAATAGAATAGAATAGAATAGAATAGAATAGAATAGAATAGAATAGAATATCATTTATATGATACTGTAAAGGAGGTTGCAAAAAAAAGGGATTATGATTATGATTTTCTATATTTTTCTAACAATTTTCTATACACATAGAAAGGTACTGTACTACTCTCATTTTAGCAAATGAGGAAAATGAGCAAAAAACACATACATTAGTAATAGAAGATTTGGGGCAAATCCTTCTATTATTAAAAAAGAAAACGCATAGTGGTTTACTGTATTAACATTGTGTTCTTTCCTCCCCCAATTTCAGCATGAAATTTGGTAGAAATAATATTTCTTCTGGAATTCAGATCCGTTTACAATGGATACCGTACATTTCATGGAAAAAAAGTATTTGAAATTTCAGAATTGTGATATAAAATCTGAAAACCATAACACCAAAAAATCCATTTAGATCATTAAGTCCACTCCCCTGCTAAGTACAGCATTCAAGACAGATGACCCTCTAACCACATCCCAAAAAAGAGAATACATCACATCTAGGTAATTGATATTATGACATACTTTGTCAAACACTTTGCTAAATCAACATATATTGTGTATTTAACATTCCCTCAATCTATTAAAATAGCTACCCAGTCAAAAAATGAGATTAGGTTAGGCTGGCAAGATTTATATTTGACACATTCCAGTAATTTACTATGTTGTTTTTCCAGTTTCTTACATAGTTCTTTTTATGCTCTGCTCTAAATGTCTCCAGTATTAATCTGAGATTAACTGGTCTATAGTTTGCTGGGTTATCCTCTTACTCTTTTTGAAGCGAGGAACAGTATTTGCTCTCTTCTAGTGATTTTCCTCCCTAGAGTTTTTCAACATTTGAGTCAAAACCATTAGATAAGATCCCAGGGTTCAATTCATCTGGTCCTGGAGAATTGAACTAATTCAAAGAAATGGTGTATTTTCTGACCATTTTTCTATTAGTGTCAAGCTTCAATTCTGCCCATCCTACTTTTTCTTGCTTGAATGCTAATTTCTTTTTATTCCAGAAGTCTAAATCAAAATAAAAGTCAAATACCTCTTCCTCTTCTGTTAGTATTTTACCACCAGCTATATTGATATTTTTTATTGACTGTTGTTTTTAACATGTTTAAAATAAGCCCTTTTGGTTTTCCTTAATATAATTCTTTAACTTCTGCTTATTTGCAGCTTTTGTTTTCATGACATCAGGGTATACTTCACAGCTATCTGTCTATTGTCAGGGTTCCAAGTAACTTTAGTTCAAATGCATTAGGCCTTCAGACCTGCCACATTTACTACTGTGGGAAACGGGGAGGTTTGAAGGCCTATGCAAAAGATGGATTCCAGGCCTGATGTCTATACTTTTACAGTGTTAAAATTACAAATCATTCCTTTTCTATCTGAGAATCTCAAGCTAACCTTATCTATATGTCAGATCATTGGCACGAATGTTTATAAAATGAAAGACATGAAGTTAGCTAATATTCGTTCTGATTTTTCAACAACATTACACTGTACTACCGAACTATTAAACAAATACTGTTTTAAGTATAAAATGGTTCCACATATGTAGTGTATACATATGAAACCAACATTTTAAAATTAAGAACAACGCCTCAAAAGCTTTTAACCCAGTCTTGCACTTCTGCTGCTTGATAATATACAAAGATGATGTCAGCAACATATAACCACTGCAAGTCATGTGTATCATAAAGATTTGTTTATGGATCCAACAAACAAATAAAAATTAAGGAATGCTGCCAAAACATAATGAACACAGAACAATATTACATAAACAAAAATCCACTTCCATAAAGAGAGTTCCTTCTTTTCTATTTATCCCACCATAGTCATTAAAGCCAAATCTGGAGAGTTGAAACAGTTTTAGAAAGAGAATGGGACAGGAGAACAAAAGAATGCCTGCCCCAAATCTAACGTAAGAAAACCATTAATTTCTATCTTGTACGTTTAGTTGAGATACATTTGCTTGCTAAGGGTGTAAGCATACCTGATAGTCTAAAATGCTGAATCCTAAACCTATATTTGCATCTTTAACAAGGACGATGTCTTGGACTTCAGAAGACCATAGTGCTAGTTCCACATCTTCATCTTCCTGCTCTTCATCTTCCTGCTGTTCCTCTGGATTTTCAAGCTTCACCTAAGAAAAATAGAATGTGCTTTTTCTACTGGTAAAATGCATCTAGTATATACAAGGCAAAAAGGTCATTGGAATTTCAATCTATATACTACTAAAATTCTAGTTGTCATAAACTGTTAATTGGGTGAAATGGTGCAATGTAGGACAACAATTTTTGAACCAAGGTACCTTTGGACACAGAATGTGCCCAATATTTGGGACTCACGAGGGAATGAAATTTGAGGAAGCTGTTGCTGCTTTGGTTTATTCACAATTATCTTTATTTTCAACATCTATAACAGTTTCCCAGGCAGTCTCGTAATCCCTTCCTTCCTCCCCAACCAGCAGCAGCAGCCACTTACCTGCAGGATGGGATGGGAAGGGATGGGAAGGGATGGGAAGGGAAGGTAAAGGGGAAGGGGAAAGGAAAGGAATTTCTGATGCTCCCTGCCAAATTTCCACAAGGAAACTCAATGGGAAAGCTAGCAGGAAGTTGGAAGTTGTTCCTATGTCCACTGTTTTCTTTTCTTTTCTTTTTTGCCTGCCCTTAGTCATTGTGTTTCTCTGTTTAGGTAAAGAAACATGCCCCAATAAGGCAGGGTTGCCCAGTGATTTCATAAAATTACATATTGGCCATTTTATTTTTATAAGTTTTATAAGTATAACACTTATACTTATATGTATAAGTAGAAAGTCTTAAGGTATAAGGAATAAATATCAAGTGCAAATAAGTTAGGATCAAAATTAAGAATTTATTTTATTCAATTTATATGGTTATCCATCTCACAAAATGACTTTTTAAAACTTCTAGTTCAGTTCATATTTTGTACAAATATTTTATCAATGATTATATCTTAATTTGATTGTAATTTACACAAAAGTCTTTTTTGGGCAGGAAGGAAAAAATAACAATAGATCTATCTAGTTTGAAAGGGAAAACTATTTGCAACCGATATTCAGCTATAACATCAGGTGTTTTTATGCAAAGATGAAAGAATGTGTGGAATGTATCCTCAGTTGATAGTTTTAAAATGATTAACAACAGAAATGGACATTTATGAAGTATCTTTTCATTAGTTAAAAAGATTTTTTTTTAACTGATACGCTACCTAAATTGGGAAACCTAAGGAACACCCAAAACACATTTATTTTACAATAGAAATAGTAAAAATCAATATCTGGGATGTCTAGAAAGTTTAATAGCTAAAACTATAATCTTCCAGGTACCATCAATTTCTTTGTTCACAAGATGGAAGCAATCAGCTAATGGAGAATTCAGAGATTAGGTATAATTCAAAACTTTTTCTCCTTTATTATACTGTAGAAAGATGAATGGGATGTACACTGTCAGCATGTCCTTTCATTGATTTACATATTTGGTATCATTAGTACAATGATGTTTCTAGCTACCTGCCTAGATAAACCACCAGGAATTTCCAATTACATTAAAAGTAGTAAAGTCAAGAGCATGAAATATTTCTGCATGAAGATAAGCTTTCTAAACTACAAGGACAAGTTTATAATTCAGTAGAACACACTTAGCACCATCAAGTTTTGAAACTTACAGTTCAAAAATGTTCCATTTTAAAAAGCTCCCACTTGGGAATACTGAAAAAGAAAAGTTAATCACTATTGTCTACACACAAAAATATTTTAAATTTTATTAGTTTTTGATGGAATATATGAATACAATCCCCACAGCTGGAATAGATGATGGTTGATTATTCCTTCTAGAACAGGAGTGTCAAACTCACATCGTCACGTGACATGACATATTGTGACTTTTTCCCTCCTTCACTAAACCAGACGTGAGCGTGGCCAACGTGTGACACCTCCAGCTTGAGGGCTGTGAGTTTGACAGCCCTGTTCTAGAAGTAGCCTCTTAAACATCTGGAAATTATCTTCCCCAAAGTTTCCACACTGAGGTTGAAATTCTGCCTAAAGAGCAGTACTTATCACTTACCATTTGTCCTGCTCCGGATTCTAACTTAGGTGCTTAAAGTATTCAAACATAGCATACAGTAGATATAGCAGACATCTTCAAATCTAATGCTGGAATATCCTTTAGTTAAATTATTTTACAAGTATATGGAAACCAGATTGTAACTTCCTCGACTTAGGATCACAATTGATCCCAGAATTTATGTTGCTAAGTGAGAAATTTGTTAAGTGAATTTTGCCCCCTTTTACGACTTTTCTTGCCATTTGTTAAGTGAATCACTGCAATTGTTACGTTAGTAACACAGTTGTTAAGTGAATCTGGCTTCTCCATTGACTTTACTTGTCAGAAGGTTGTAAAAGGGGAACACATAACCATGGGACACTGCAACCATGATAAATATGAACCAGTTGCCAAGCATCTGAATTTTGATGAATTTTTCATGGGGATGCTGCAACGGTCATAACTGCAAAAAATGGTCATAAATCACTTTATTCAATGCCATTGTAATTTTGAACGGTCACTAAACAAACTGTTGTAAGTCAAGGACTACCTGTAGAATAATGAGGACATTATCAGTAAGGATTAAGGAACATAACTATAAAGTCATTTGGAAGTGGTATTTGACCCCAATAAGACTTTTTCAAATGGATAATAAAGTGGATAAAATGTGTTAGAGATGTAAAGTGGAACTCGGGACATATGCTCATATGTGGTGTAAATGTAATGGGGTTGAACTTTTTTGGTCTAGGATAGAAAATGAAATATTTGAAATAATTAAGAAGAGGGTCAAATTGAAATTGGAAACCATATTATTATTAATATTGAATGAAACAACATTAACAACTGGAGAAAGAGAATTGGTGAGGATTTTGCTTATAATGGGGAGAATTATAATTGCTAGATATTGGAAATTAAATGTTGACTTAAAATTAGAAGAATGGTACAATGAAACATGGAAATTTGCATTAAATGATAAATTGACTTGTGATATTAAAATTAGAAGTGGTATATATAAAGAAAATGTTTTTTGGAACACTTGGCAACCATTTGTGGACTTTGTACTTGGGAGATTGGATGAATTGGCACCAGTACCTTATCAAAGAGATTTCTGGAAGAATTGAAGACTTCAAGTTCCTAAAACTTCCTTTCCGTTTGTATAGCACGTTGGGGGGGGGGAATTTTTCTTTCCTTATTATTGATTTTTTGTATTGATTTTTTTTCTTTCCTTTTTGTTATTCTTTAATAATAAAAATATAATAAAAAATTTAAAAAAAATTAAAAAAATTAAGGACTACCTGTACTTTGCTTTTTCATTCAGCTTCTTTAAATAACAGAACGGATGATGTAGACTGCACAGATAAATCACAAGTCAGACACAATGACTAAAAATTTGGAACTATGGCTCTAGATTGTGGAGTGCTATTCAACAACCTGATATCAAGATCCAATGTTATCTACCATGGATGAAGCATCATACGTTTTGAGCATTGTCTGCTGTAATATAATACTGCTCAATATTTTCCACTCCAATACTGTTTATTAACGTACTGTGTTACAATATTTCACTAAATATGATAATAAAAGATAGAATTTAATCATTTACAAGGTAGCAGAAAGCTTCCACCCTGAGTAGCAGCAAAGCTTCCACCCCGAGTAGCAGCAAAGCTTCCACCCCGAGTAGTTTCAGAGATAATAATTTCTCATGAACCATTTAAAAAAAAGAAAGCAATATGCTAATGTACATGCCCATAATAAAAAAAAAATTTTAAAGGCAGATGAAGCAAGAGCATTTTCCATCATAATGTGGCTAAGAATTTTACTTTTTAAAAAAACATGCCATTCTGAGCAGTAGGAAAATGGCTTATGAATCATTCACATTCATTATTCATAATGAAAATTAAATGCAAAGTAACCAATAACGAAAGCAGCAGCAGAGTCAATTAATAATCTTTGGGAAATCCTTGGAAACATGCCATAGGGTGTTTTTTTTTTTTCTTCAAATACCTTTGGTTCTAGAGAATGAGCAATTGTGGCTGGAGGTTCATCCACAAAAGATTCCGTATCATCATCAAACAAACGGCGACAACAAATCAGGGTAAATGGAGGGGGAACCTCTTTCAGAAAAGAAACAGCTTCACGGCGGGATTTCCCATAGAGCTGAACACCATTTACCTAAAGATAGAAAGGACACCATTCCTAAGTTGACCAATACTTTAAAGCAATTTGGATTTATCATAAATATTTCACTGCTTATTTTATAGTGTTTCAATGACAGGCAAATACAATTCCGCCTGCCCAATATATAGATAGATGGACTTCATTTAGCATTCCAATGATGGAGAAAAATGTTCTCTCTCTGTGTCTCTCTGTTTGTTTGTCTCTCTCTCTGTCCCTCTTTGTCTCTCTCTCTCTCTCTCTCTCTCTCTGTCTCTCTCTCTCTCTCTCTCTCTCTCACACACACACACACACACCATTTTCAGGAAACTAATGACTTCCTTAAACCACTAAAGCAATCAATAGTATTTATTTAGTTTTACTTGATCTCCATGGCCTTTCTACTCTCATCTCCTGTTTTACTGTAACTCTTCAGATATTCTTGCACCCTTCAGCCCAAGCCACCATTGAGAACTTAAAAACTGCAAGGAATTGTAGTTCAGCAGCATGTGAAGAAACATTGGTTAACTGTTAAGGTTTTGTTCTACAAATACTCCCCTTATTATTTCTTTTCTAGTTCTTTCCACAAATTGAATTTCTTGATGTCAGGGTATGTTCTTGTAAATTCTACTGCTCCCAATCTCATACTTTTGTGGCTCATAAAATCCACAATGACTTGTAAAAATGTAGACTAGCGTATGGGACAACCAGCAGAAAAGAGACAGTTACCTGCTAACCTCAAATTACTAAAACAAATTTTAGTAACCGTGGTTCTGTTATTAACTACTAGCAGTGTTGTGGTATTACCGGTATGTATCATGTATTATGTGGTATTATGTAAGTCCATCTATATTTTACTTGGAGTGGTTATATTTTATATATAACCACTTTATATATAGAATAGTTCAACTCTATACTCTTAAAATACTACAGTTAAATGACTTGATTACTTGTTGGATTGTACATTGTGTATTCCTTCTAGAATGTGTTTGCCATTTTATAGAGTTTTTCTCACAAAAGAAATCACAAATTTTGTGTGCATATGAATGCATTGAGTAATCATGATTAACTCAAGATTTAAATGGATTAATCCATCTCAAGATAGAAACTGGGAAAATGTGAGTTCTAGTCCTGCCTTAAGGAACAAAGCCATCTGGGTTACTTGGGGCCAGTCACTTTCTCTCAATCCTAGGAAGGAGGCAAGAGCAAACCGCTTCTCAAAAATCTTGCCAAGAAAACTACAGGGACTTGTCCAGACAGTCTCTGTGAATTTAGACACAGTTGAATAGAAGGAGGGGAAAAGCTGTCTCAAAGGCTGCATTTTGTAAGCACTACTCATCAGTAGTTAATAGCCTCAGTTTTCAGAAACGTGTAAAACATGCTTGTAAATTCTGTCACATTTTGGAACTATTCCATATAACATGATATATTGCAGAAAAGCATTCAGACAACTACATGTTGCAGAACAACATTTATTTTGCATAAGTATTTTGAGAAGTAGAATTGGTTGTGAGGATTTGGTACCAGGCCTCCAGACTAATCTAACAATTTCTTTTTGTTCATTGAAATCATGAGTGAGGTTGAAAAACAGGTTGAAAAACAGGTCTATTCCAACAGGTCCATTGGATTGGACTCACTTCAGTAAAGTTTCATAAAAAAGAAATATGTTTCTCTCTTTGGACATACGAAGTGTATCCTGACTCTTCTTCTGTGATATGGTTTTATTTAGGTCCTAGTCACAAGAGCTAAAATATGAGAACCTATTATCCTTTTGGTAGAATAAAACTAATCTACCCAGAATTCTAATGTAATTTTTTTACTAATCTTATTGTTGCTCACATTAACATTATGATATCAAGAGAAGGGCTGTGTAATGTAAGTCTGTCGGTGACTTGGACAAATGGAATGCTAGATTGATTACTATCATAATTAAGTGAATAGTTACTATAGAAACCTTTCAGGACTTTCACAGCAGGTCTGCAGAAGGACGTATGTTGGGGATGGATTTGAATAGCAAATCTTATGTTATGTTATAATAACAAAGCTATGCTAAATCCCCATTGTGAACTGGAGGGAAGAATTTCATATTTTTAAAATATTTCTCTCCCATTGACTTCAATGAAAGGAAAATTATATTTCTGTAGGTTTCAAGGTATACTGTATTTGGGAGTGGAAAGTCTTTTCAAATTGTTCTTCCAATCTATATATTCTTTGCTTCTGTAGAGATCAGACTGTAAGTAAGGCAATAACCACACAAAATTCCAGGCCATTTGAGAAGGGACATCTAAGTTTGAATCTATTTCAGCATGCTCAAAAGGAAGAGATCTCAGCTATTTTATAATCCCTTGATAATTTTCTTCTAGGGACATAGAATGGCAGTCCAGCTAATGCCAAATGATACTAAATTAGAATTAAATGTATACACATACACCATTTGCACACAGGAAAATGAGAGCCAGCCAGTCAGTCAGATACCTATTAGGGTTTCTATTTCAGATAATTGTTATAGGCTAACCCTGGAAACATTTTAAGCCAAAAACTCAGTGTTACATTAAGGAAAGCAATTGGGGAATGAAATTGAAATCACAAGCTCTGGATGTAATTGAAGATTTGGAATGAGTAACAGGAAGAAATATTCCATCCAATATTTTGTATACTCATAAAAATATCTCCTATACAGAGATGGAAACTTCCAATGGAAAGACACATTGTACTTGCAGATGCTAAGGACTTTGGAAGATTTAATTTCTCTAGCAAATCTTGATATCCTAAAAGGCATTTTAATGCACTTCAAGCATACACTCCATGATACAGTGTTGATTATTTAAAAATATACATGCTACTTTAAAATGGTACCTCTAAAAGTTCGTCCTCCAGTTGCACTAAGCCAAGTTTAGCAATTGGGCCATCTGTAGCAATGGAAGAGATGTAATGATGTCCTTCAAAAGTATCCAGTTCAACTCCAAGCCTTAATGTGTGAATAGGCAGCAGCTATTAAAAATGAATCACAAAAATAGTTAGAGAAGAACATTTAAAAAAAAGGTGAATTAGATTCTGTAGTTCTGTAAAGTTTGAACCATCTGAATATTTTAATTTAGTAATGAATTGAATTTGATTTATTTTTATTTTAATACTCCTTGATAAAAGGATAATGATGCCCTCAAGTCCATCTCAATTCCTACTAATGCATCCCTGCAGTTTTCTGTAGTCACAGAAGTGCCAATGTCTGTTTTTGCCTTTGCTGTTACTTTTTTTTTAATTATTACCGTTTTTCTTTTCTGCTTGTTTTTCTTTTGCTTGCTAGTTTAGCCAACAGCCCTTAGATCCCCAGATAGTCACACTTATAAAAATAATAGAGACACATGGATGACTTGGATATGACATGATCACTAGAATCTGGGGAATTCATGATCACTAGATGATCACTAGAATCTGGGGACATGATCACTAGAATCTGGGGAATCTGGATCACTTCTGGGGAAATATAAGCTGTTTTATGACAAACCAATGAAAATGGGATTATGAATGTTTTATGAGACATATTTAACCAACAGAGAAATGGATAAAGACCATACAGATTAAAAATTGTTCTCAGCAGAATAAAAATGTTATATTTGTTAATTACTTCTTACCATCCTCTGTCTGCCAAACTTAAACAAACCAGGGAAAAAAGTATAGAATATTGTTTAAATAAAGCTTGAATTAATAAAATAAGTACATAAATTAGTACATAAATGAAGGGATAAATGAGTAATGAATCCTGGTTTCTGAGTCCAACTTGTTAGGTATTTTTTAAAAAAGAATTTCAATTTCAATAATGTATTTCTGCTGGTTGAAAGAGCCAAACTGACCTGGATACATGCATTAGCATGCAGATACTGTAAAGACTCGATTTTTTTCTGGAATTCAGAATTATTACTGCATAGAGCAGCACTGCAAGTTAATGTTGTTTCCAATCAAGGTTTGATTTACAGAAGATAAAATGGTACCTCTTAAAATGGTATATTAACTACATTTCATTTCAGTGCCAATCCTAAACAATGGATATCCCAGGGAAGATCTACAAAGCATTTTAATAAGCAAAGCTGTAAAATATATTTACAAAAATTAAATAGTGTCTTGAATAACTTCATGCCCGCAAAACAGCAGCACAAAAATAGTAAGATATGCAAAGTGTCAAAAATATTTATATCACATGATTCACATCCATTTCTATTTCCATTACTAACATGTCACAGAATGTTAAAAGGAAAAAAAGAGTCAATACCTTTGAATATTTTTGTAGTTCAGCATCATCTGCAATTGGTGTATCTATTGTGACAACCTAAAAATCAAATAAAAACAGAAAAGCTTCATGGGTATAACAAAGAGCTACTTGAAAACTCAAAAGAAATTGACTAAAATATATTGCAGATACATTACTGGAACAAGTGAGAGATTGAAGCATTAGAAATATAGTCATGTTGCTTGTTAGGCAAAAGACGAAAAGCTTTGCATAGCTTTAAATCATCTAAAAGTTGGCCTGAGAGAAGTAAACCCCAATCGAGTCTACAGAAACAGATTTAATTATTGATTAGACTCAATGTGGATTAATGGTCACATTTCTATAATTCAGTTTATTTAAATTATTTCCTATGTACTAAACCAGTATTTCTCAACCTCAGCAATTTTAAGAGGATGGACTTCAACTCTCAAAATCTCTCAGCCATGCTGGCTAGGGAATTCTAGGAGCTGAAGTCCATACCTCTTAAAGTTATTGAGGTTTTAACTACTGTTAAGAGTTTAACCCTCTGCTCAAAAAGTAAATATTCTCATTTAAGGTCTCATTTCTTGAAATGAGATTTCAAGAAATTACATTCCCAGTAATTTAATATGGATAACATACCATAACTTCATAATCAGGTCCCAGCAGTGTTTCCCATTTGGATGTTGGCTTATTTTCTGATAAGTCCGAGATGTTCCCTAAAATGCAATTATTATTATTATAAGGCAGTTGTTAGGACTGCACATTTTTTATTTACATTTTGGCAAAACACAAAGCATTCTAAACTAATTGCCCTACTATAGAAATATATATAAAAATTCACCTTAAGAACAGTTTAGTCTCCTATCTGCATCAATGCCTTCTTCCTTCCTTCCTTTATATCCTTATAATAAGCTCCTCAATTAAGTAATATGTAACTTGCAGAAGTCAGAACTTCCAACATGCAAGCAAATATCTTCCTCTAAAAGCAGAACCAACTGGAGGATAGCTTACAACAGGGCAGTATGTTTATACAGTCTTTTTTGTTAAACTTTGGAGAAATCAGGTAATGTTTCATAGCAGTATAATTCCACATTAATAAATCACTGTACAGATCACATCATCTGTTTTTCTAAGGAAAAAATGTCCTTAACTCTTATGTATCATTTTGTTACATTTTTTTAAAAATGTTAAGTGTATAAAATGACCTGTTAAATAAAACTGCACTGTATGCTGCTTGGGGGAACTAAAAATACTAAAAATCACACCTGTCAATCATTCCAAATAACTACAAATATTGAATTGAATGTTTATGACACCACAAGAACATACTAGAACCACGAAAATTATTAATTCTACTGGCATATATTTAGAAACTTACACGGGATTAATTTTTTATTAAAAACAAATTCTTTTGAACACAGGAATACCTTTTGTTGACAACAGTGATGTATATTAGGTTCGAAATGTCTCATCTTGATATGTTTTGCATGCCTTTGCTTATTTCTGAATAACTTTTAGAATATTGTTATTTGTCTTCATATTGGCAAATATAAAACATAAATAAAAGGAATCTCTCTGAAACAGCACCATTCGTGCCTGAAAATGTATATTAACATGTTGAATGGATCTTCCCTATTAAAAACCGTCACACACTTTGGCTGTTTTTACAAAGATACATATCATCAAGATCATGATTAAATATATCTTATGAATTATTCCCCACTTTAAACATATTGTTTTTAGCTCACAATATTAGCATAATAAAATAGAAATATTAAAGTTTAATACAGCAAGTGAAGTAATAACACATTTTGTAAAACACGATTTGTACATTATGTTTGAAAAATGTTTTCATAGTTTGAATGGGCATTAAAGTAGCAGTGTTTTCCTTACTGGTATTATACTTAAGAGTCTGTCAACATTTCCAATACCACTGTCTATTTTTGGAATTTAATCTGGATATTAAATTCTGCTCCAGGATGAACTTTTACAAACAATATTTTAGAATCATCTGTGCTTTAAAAAAATGACTTATTAGTTTTTAAACAGCAAAGATATATCAATGTATTTATCACTGAAAATACATTTTATAATTCCTTTATTCTAATTAGGTTTGTACTTTTTTGTAAAAAAGAAAAAAATTGTTCTTTCTGCTATAGAATTGCATGCCACAAGCTACTTAATTTGCTCTTGTCCCATTCTCATTTGAGTATAAATGCCCAAATACAATAAAATTTGATATTATTCCAAGTCATTACAACTTGCAGCATCAAATAAGAAGGAACAGATTTCTAAAATTATAACATAATGTGCTTCAGTGAAACATTTACTTGGCATTAAACTAGCTAAGCAGAAAAGCTTTGTTAATATAATTTCTATAATATAGAATCCATCTAGTTTAGCTTTCTTCTTCCTGCCCTTCTAAAGAACTATGTATTTCACTATGAACAGAAACATGGTTGACTTTAGCATCTGACTTTTAGTTTTTGAAAAATGTAGAACAAGCTTTGGGTAGTTTAGCCTGTATTTATGAGGAATTATTCTGCATGACTATAGATCACTGCCACTCTCTATCTAAGGGCAAACCATACATATAGATAGTCCTAGACTTCTAACCATAAACAAACCTGGCAATTAGGAGGTAAGTAATGACAGCTGCCATTAAGCCAACTCATTGTTTGCTGCGGGCAATTTTTTTGCCAGAAACCAAAGATATAGTTTGGGCAAAATGTCATAATTCGTAGTCACATGACCAGGGGACACTACAAATGACAATAATTGCAGGCTGATTGCCAAGCACCCAAAATGCAGTCACATGACCATGGGAGGTATTGGCTGTGAGAACTTTGATACGTTGTTTGCTTTATTTATTGAAGAGTGGGTGGACTTTATTTATATTGTTGCATTTTATATATTTGTTAGAATTCTATCCTCCCTTTCTTTCAAATGCTCAAGGCAACATTTCCTCCTGTAATTTTCTCTCATTGCTACCTAATGAACTACTTCTGGCCAAAACTCACCAAATGAGCTTCTGTGTCTAAAGACATTCAGAACTCCCTAGTCCTAATCCAAGATCTTAATCTGTACTGTACTGGATTTTATTTCATATACTCCAATCCTTAGTTGAGTAATCCTTAGTTGTTATTTACGCAATAATAATTTTGAAGCAATAAAGTACCAAAAAGGTTGTTTTCCAATAGAATGCTTGACTTACCAATTGCATGTTGCTTCTGCTTCCTTTCATTTTCAGTGTTATCTTTTTGCTCTTGAGGTTCCTCATTTTCACTATCGGATTCCACACCAGTCAAGTTGAACATGTGTGAATGCCCTGGAAAAGTTCCCAAAGCTTCCCATCACTTCTGTAATCAGGCAAAAACTTTGAACTGTTCCTTTTTTTAAAAATTCTAAAATATGTCTGAATTGATAGGACATTCAACTTTCCACATTATTCTAAGCGTACTATTATCAAATTTCAAGTCCTCAGCTGATATTCAAACTAGTAAAGTTATATGCTTCTCCATTTCCACTATCCCCAAAACCTCTTCGAAATGTAAAAGGAATATTTAAAAAACTGAACGATCACTGAACTCTTCTAGCTTTCTAAATGACTTCCCTTCCACCTGCCATGTGCTTAAATCTTTTGTGGGAGGATTGAAGGTCTGAGAACATTCATTGAAAGAACAGAATTCTGATCAGTGCTGTATGGATTTCATCCAGAGTGTCAGATCTAAAGGAGAATATCTCTATTCTCAAGTTACTAAAAATGTTCCATAATCATTTAATCTGCCTTTCCCAGCTTATAATAATGATCGAAAAAAACAAATTAAGCACAATAGAATTTTACAAAACAAATAAGGTCTTAAAAACAAACCAAGTAGTGTTGGTTAGAAAATGTAACTGAAAGTGGAACAGAAACAACGCAACAAAATATATGTACTATGGTTTGCTTTACAAGCCAGTAGAGGATAAATCCTGTAGAGCTCTAGAATAAAGTTCAGTCATCTGTTTTTTTAGTTTCACATTTCGCACCTCAAACATAGCAAATATTATCCTTTGGTTGCAATTATTGCCACCTATTTGGGAACATGCGCATAGCAACACCTGTAAAAATAAAATGGGGGTAAGAATGAAAATGTGACCTTCCTTCCTAGCACATTTCTTGCCTTGGCCAGTAAGCCTTTAAGGATTTAAAAAAATCATTTAATTAGTTATGTAAATTGTTGAATCTTTTGGAACAAACAAGTATCCAAAGGAACCAGGTTAACTGATTCTTATAATTCAACTGGTTGTATTATTTTGCTCACAATCTGTGAAAGCTGCAATCTCCCTACAGGATATATTTGTTTCAGAAAAGGCCAGGACTAACCTGTTCTGCTGGCTTAACCAGCCTTGTAAATAAGTGGAATAGTAGAAATTACTTCAAAATATCAAGGTGCTCATTAAAAACAATCCTGAGCACTTTATCTTAACTAGAAAAGAATGTAGACAGAGGGAAGAACTTTACCTCTATCCAACTCTCTTTCCGCATGTGGTTTCTTTCGAAGCAATGTCAGATGAACAACTGGTCCTGTCTTGCGTAAAGCTTCCACAACTTCTTGGTTGGTATAATTCTGAATATTAATTCTGTTAACCTAAAGGATACATACACAATTCTTTTGAAAATGATCATCCATAGCACAAAAGCAGGTTGCTTGAATGAGATAACCACTTTCACTGGCTAATTATTGCACAAAGGCAAAACATGAAGCAAAACAGATTCACACATGCAAACTCATCTATTCAGTCCTTAAGTGGAACCAAGAATAGGCCATTTTCAAGGGTAGGGAAGGTGGCAAGCAGATGTGTTGAATGTGTTTAAAACAAAAATACAAAACGAGACAAAATCTTGCAATCTCTGATATGACCCCCCCCCAAGGACTGGGGGGGAGGGGGGAAGGATAACAATGTTTCTCAACTTTTGTACTTTATATAAAGTCATCATTAACTTGCAGGGTCACCTTATAGGGGAGATAGGTGGCATAAACATTTAATAAATAAAATAAAATAAATAATGTAGAGAGAAAAAAACTTGTCTCCTTCCCTCATAAGATAGTCCACTGAAACTCAATGTGGGGTGAAGATATAGAGATATGTACTCATCCTTATATACATACATACATACATACATACATACATACAAACATACATACATACATACATACATACATACATACATACATACAGTAGTGGCCAAAATTGTGGAAATCTTTTGGGAAAAGTGTATTTTTGAGATTTGGTGGCTAACAACACCACTTTTTTTGAAGTTTCAAGATAATCATATTCCACTGCTGGCATGACCTGGGAATAGCCCAGACCTTAACTCAATTGAAAATCTATGGAGCCAACTAAAGAAATTTGTTAGTCAGAAGCAACCCAGCAATAAAACCCTGTTAATAGAAGCAATCATTCAAGCTTGATTTCACATTATAACAGGTGCAGAACTAAAAGACTTGGTTCACTCCATGGGAAGATGTTGTAAGGCCGTAATTCATGCTAAAGATTACCCAACGAAGTATTAACTGACATGATAATTTTTGTAAATCTCGTTTTTCTCCGTGTTTCACTTTTCTTCTTTATACTGTAACTCCTATTCTAATAGCAAATCCTTCATAAAAGGTATTACATTACATTCTTGATTAAATTATCTTTCCATTGATATATAATTTTATGGTACTATTCCAAAAAAAAAAGTGGTGTTATTAGCTAGTTTTAGAAAATACACTTTTCCCAAAAGGTTTCCACAATTTTGGCCACTACTGTACATACATACTCATCCTTATATACTCATGTATATATAAGTAATAGTAATAATGTATCGAATGTATATGTTTCTCAACTCCCAGGGACTCTAGGAGGTTCACAGATTGTTTTAAACACTAAAATCAAGAAACAACAAAAAACAGGGTAAAGATGGCAGCAGGACAAAATCAGATGGAAACAAAGGAAAACAAATCAAGTTAAAAGGAGGTCGTCCTTGCCAAAGGCCTGGGTGAACAGCCAGGTTTTCAAACTCCTTTGAAACACTAGCAGGACAGGGAAGGTTCAGATCTTGGGGGAAATCTCATCCCAGAGAGCAAGCCTACAGAGAAGGCATGCTTCCGGAGTCCTGAGAAATGTCATTGCTTAATTGAAGGAACTTGGAGCACACCAACTCTGTCAGATTAGATCGGCCGGGCAGGCACTATGGATGAGAAGCAGTTCTTTAAATAACAGGGCCCTGGGCCATTGATTAAGTTATGTCATTTGCTGCCAGCAATTATGGTAATAGCAGCATATTTGGATCATTTTAAAAGATGGCCAGGCATAATCATGGCGGTTCAGACTATCAATGGCCTTTAATAGTGATGAATGTTTAGCACATTCTAAATTATAGATAGCACGTCTGAAATAATAGTACTTGCAATAGTGGAAGGAAACTGTAGTCCTCTCATTCCAGACTTGTCACCTTCCCAAAATATCCAGCTGAGAACCCAGAAAGCTGGTTTAGATGAGCATAGGACTTGGTACAGCACAGATTGTTCTAACACACTGTTCTGTTATCCTAGGTTAAAGTTCATTTATTCTGATTGATTTCCTTCTCTCCCAAAAGAAAATATAGCAAGGAAAACAAGAGAGCCCCTTCCTATGAATGCAAGTTTCAACTTACTGCAATGATTTTGTCGTTGACTTTTATCTGACCATTGTGATCTGCAGCACTGTCAGGTATTACGTTTTTTATGAAAATCCCTGAAGCTTCCCCTTAAAGGAGGAGAATGAGATGGAGGGAGAAAGTACAGACAGAATTAGCATACACCGATTATCATTTCACACACATTCTAGAGCAGAGAAAGAGGCAACTATGGTCCCTTTAAAAACTGTGAACTTCAACTCCCAGAATTACTCTATATATAATATAAATCATATGTTTATCCTGATGTTTTACACTTATTTTTCCCTAACTGTTCCTATTTTTGGAAGATTTCTTGATTGTTGTTGTTGTTGTTGTTTTGAATTTCTGAAACTTCCATGTTTCTTGATACACATTAGCATTTTCATAGTTGATTTCAGCTTTTTCAAAAATGTCCATGTTTTCATTTAGGCTTCAGTACAATATGTCTTAGCTTTTTTTTTAACCCCGTAGAAGGCAAACATTTGATGACTGGTAAAAATAAGAAAACAAAACTGAAAAGTTATACTACCATTTTGATGGAGACACAGTCATGCTGGCCAGATGACCACGGAAGTGCCTTTGGACAACGCTGCTCCCTTGGCTAAGAAACAGAGAATGAGAACCTCCCCCAGAGAATTGGACACAACTGGACATGGGAAACCTTTACCTTTATCTAATCTTTCTGCGTTACTTAAAATATCTGGGGCTAAATAAATACTTAAGAGAGAAAAAGCAAAGAAGCATTTCTCTTTCTCCCATTCTCTGACAATATTGTTCTCTATCTTAAATATATGTTCAACGAATTATCTGATTTAGTCTCTCCCTTTAGCAATCAATATTATACAGCTCACCTGAATCAGAAACTCCAGAATATCCAACAATTGTTATACCAAGGCTCTGTCCATCTTTTTTAGTCAACTTAACTTCATGAATTTCATTTTCCTGGGAAACAAAACCATACCATTTTTTTTCAGATTATATTAAGCATTTAATCTTGTCCTGAGGACTTTTCTATTTGTTACCTAATTAAAGCCTTTTTCAGTTCAAAGTTCCAAAGACAAGAGGGTGTGTGTGGCTTTCACAATGTCAGCATTTCTGGTGTTCAAATGTCTTGACACATTACTTTCTGAACTTCTGAATATTATTGAATTATTATCCCTTTGCACTTTTAAAACAGAAAAAAGAAAAATCTATCCTTTTAAAAAAAAATGCTAAATTTTAATATTAATTAATTTCATTTTCACTGCCTGGATTTATTTTTCTATCTGATTTTATAATTGTTGTGATATCTCCAAATGGTAAAACAGGTTAAAAATTAAAATATATCAAAAAAGATAAATAGAATGAAAAATTAGATAGCAATTACAATTATAAGAGTCGTGCTGGCACAGTGGTTAGAATGCAGTACTACAGGCTAATTCACTGCTCAGTCCAGGAGTTCGATTCTGAGTGGTTGAAGGTTGACTCAGCCTTCCATTCTTCCGAGGTGGGTAAAATGAGGACCCGGATTGTTGGAGACAATATGCTGACTCTGTAAACCGCTTAGGGAGAGCTATAAAGCACTGTGAAGCAGTATATAAGTCTAACTGCTATTGCTATTGCTATAAACTGATCAGATGAAAATATTTTAATCACTCCTACCAGGAGAAAATTGTATTTGATTTTTTTTTCTTTACACGGTCCTTTAGCAATATGTACTTCAGGAGAACTTATGTGCAAATACATAAACTGACAAACAAAAGGCACGATGAGCTAGAAAACATAGCTGTCAAGTCTATAAATCTGAGCTAAAATTTGATATTATATAAATTACTGTGTGACCTTTTCAGAGACAGGAGTTCCATAACTTGGATGCTTCAGCTAAATATGAGGCAGATAGTCAAGAAGATATTGAAAGTGAAAGTGTCTTTTGAAAAGCACCTTTGGGATTGAAAGTGAAAGCCGTTGATTTTGGCGATGTAGTAAAACTACAGTAGTATTGTTTGCCCTACAATAGCAAAGTGTGTTAGTCAGTTTTCTGGTCTGTGACTATAACAAAGATTAATTGTTAAACTCAACAATAATAACAGTAATTAGACCGACTAAGTATTAAGGTCAGTTTAGGAAGATTTTCTTCAGACTGCATGAAATTTCCAGTGGTGTAATCTGATGCAAGCATTAAGATACTTACTGTGTCAGATTCTCTGTCCTGAATAGTAGCTAATTCACCCACAGGATCAGCCACAGGAGTTGGTGGGATTGCAGATATTTCAGACAAAGGAGATCGTGCAACTACCATCTTAACGTGGTTTCCACAGTTTCTCAAGACTTGAGCAACCTGTTCGCTACTCATCCCTTGTACATTAATACCCCCAATTTCCAAGATGTGATCATCAGTTCTAAGTCTGCCATCCTTCAAGAAACAAGGAACATTTTTCAAAGTTAAAATGAACTGGAATGGAATACTTTTTATAAAGCATGACTTCAATATAAAATGTCATCATGTTAAAGCAATGCTGCAGTGGATGCTACACTGAAAGAATTATATCAAATATTAAAAATAGTCTTTAAAAGTTACTAAAGAAACTACTAGCATGTTTAGCATATGTTTTAGATTATAGACAAGTTCAGTATTTTTCATATATTGTATATATTAGTCACTTATGGCTTTCACTGTATGTGTCATTCTTCCACTAAAAGTCTAATTGTTACAGCATCGTCAAATTGCAAGTCTACACATTTTTAATATTTCTCTTTCTACTTAAGAGCCCAGGCATATGTAAGAAGTCAATTAGAACATAGATAGCAGAGACATTTAATTGGTTATATTTAACCTACTTTTAATCTACATTTATACATTCCATCAATTAGGCTTCAATGATTAAAATTTATTTTCATCATTTTAAGCAATTTGGGGCTCTTGCCAAATGTTTTATATTTGATACTTCGTAAAATACCAAGTGGAATAGAAACAATGATAAGTCATCAAACAGGAGCGGGAGATACTATTCCTGCTCCTTATTCTACATGGCTTCATCTCAGCTGATATAGCAATGGAGAGATACTGTATACAGATAACAATAGAAACACTGAGTTGAGACAATTTGATTATTACTTTCCTTTGCCATAACAAAATGGATAGCATTGTTGCGACTGGTTTTAGATGTTAACATAGTAACAAATTAGTGATAAAGAGGTGGGCACAACATTTCCCATCCTTCTCCAAGGGTGAGAAATGCTTTTCCACTGCTGTTTCCACAGCCTAATAAAACAGAATAAGGCCAGGTCAACATCTTTTCCTACTTTACTATCTGTTAAAAGACTCTTTCCCTCAAAGAAATTACAGATCCAAGTATTAACTATGTACAAATACACACACAGAGAGAGAGAGAGAGAGAGAAAGAGAGAAAGAGAGACAAAGAGAGAGCGAGAGAGAATTGTAAACAAATTTACCCTGTCTGCTAGTCCACCAGGAACAATAGTCCGTACCACCACACCACTTGTTTTTCTTCCCACAATTCCAAACCCTAATCCAGAGCCATCATTAATCAGTTCAACTTCTTCAGTGTGGCCCCAATTGACCTATAAAAATAGAAAAGTAATTTTACAGCAATCTTTCAAAACATTAAAAAGCTAAAAACATTTACCATAACACTTCCAATCCATACAATAAAATAAGTACTCAGTATTTTCCACAGCAACTCATCTATTTTAGAAGTCTCCTCTTACAACATCTGGAGTATACATGAGATCCAGTGGTTCATGCAATTATAGTAAGGTGGATTGATGGAGAGCATGGTAAATATGCAGGAAGACCCTATAACATGTTTTATTACATCATACCGTAAATTTCCTTGGAAGCATTTCTAATTAAAACATTAGACCAGTTACACTGAACACAAAGATCGTATCTGAAACACTATAAAGGACACAAGAGGGGGGAATATCTTCAAACTGCTTCTTTAGTGTCTCTGAAACATGGAATAATGCATTGCTATGCCTGTTCACAAATGTGTATGACAACTGCATTGGAATACAGTAATTACCTGGACCTAATCAGAACAACACACTGAAATGAAGCAAACAGCATTCATATAAGTTTTATGTTTTCTTCCTGGAATGCACACAACAGCCTAAACCAGGGGTCCTCAACCTTTCAGACCTCAGGGACCACTAAATTAATAATTATAAATTCCACGGACCACTAATATGATCTGCCTAATGACCGGCTGGGTGGGTGTGGCTAGGTGGTCATGTGACTGGGTGGGCATGGCCAACTCGATGGCCAACTCGATGTCACTTACATCGAGGGGTACCTCGCCGGCCTCTATTCACCCCTCTTCTGCCAGCCACTCCTCGTCTCTCCACCCGGGCTCCTAAGGGCCCCAACAGGAAGCAGTTGTTGTAGCTAAGCAGCCACCATGAGAAAAAGTTGGCAAAACAGCTGGCTCAGTTCAAATTGGATCTGACCAAAAAGGAGGCTCAGCAGAAACACCTCACTCAGAACTACAAGCATAGGCTTTCCAAGCAGAGGGAAGACCTGCAGGAGTGCAAGGCCAGGTACCGGTGCCTGGAGGCTCAGGCCATGATGCAGTCCAACTGGAATAAGGCCCTCCGGCTCCTTGCCACCAGCGGCACTTCCCTCCAGCCTTCCCCCAAAGCCCCCCACCAGGAGGTTGAAGCAGATCCCAAGTCAGAATTTCTGCCCCCCTCCAACCTGCACAAAAAGACCCCAAAGGAGGAGACTCTCTGCAGCAACACAAACGTTCATTGCATGTATCTGGCCCAGGGGCCATAGTTTGAGGACCCCTGATTTAGTGCAATATTAAAAAATGCAAATAATTTTTCTGCGGACCACCAAAATTTTCTCATGGACCACCAGTTGGTGACCGCTGGCCTAAACCATCATGGTGGCTGGGAGAATTTCGCAACAATCCAATAACAAAACAATGCCTCCTGATGCATTGGACATTTGTGGCTTTTTGTTTTCCATGGGCTGGGAAAAAACTAAAAAGGGATTGTTCCCTATCTGTGTTTATGCATGAGAAAAGAACTTTACATTGAGTTCTGTGCATTTGAGGATCCTAGATCTTAAATCAAGAAAGATTATTTGGTCCAGTGTGATCTACTAGACAGGTAACTAAAGATTGGTCAGCTGATTGATATATTGAATATAGAAAACATTAACTTACTGGACTGAGTTAAAATTGAGTGGGTTTTTTAAAAAACCCATAGCATATATTTATTAGTGGGGGAACAGTGGATCAGGTAGGAAAAATTGTGATTAATATAGTGAGAAAACTGCAGGTCATTTTGGAATGGATTCTAAGCAGGATGAGCTATATAATCTTGACTAAGATACTTTTCTCTATTCTGCATCCATATTTCTACCAACGGCTAGCCAGATTCTTCTGTGAAACATTCTGGCAGGCATGACAAAACCCACTTGTGTCCTTGCTTGTCAAATGTCAAAGGAAAACTCAAACTGACAGGATTGACTAAGATGCTGGAATTGAATGTACCAAGTATCACTTTGTAGGAAAGTGGGAGGAAGTATTTCTCATTCCTTTTTTTCCCATTTTTCTCTTTTCCTGCTCATAAAATCACAGTGGTGTAGGCCAGCCCCCCCCAAACATTTTGGCACCAGGGACCTGTTCCATGGGGAGAAGTTTTTCTGTGGACCAGAGTGGGCAATGTTTCATGTGGTGTCTGCATTTTCTGTATAGATGCTTTATGGAAACAAAGTGGTTACATTTCATGCTTTTAACTTCAGAGAAATAATCACTATGATGAACCAGTAAGTTTAAGCAATTTAACATAATTATAAAAAAAAATAAAAGTACCTTCAGCTAAGATAGTTCCTTCATATCTATGCTTGTAACAAATAATCAATTCAACAATACAGATTTAATAATCTATCAATCAAGCTACCTGAGCCTGAAGACTGGTGAGTAATGGACACCAGTAATATATAACAAAATATTGTAAAGGACTAAAACCACAATTTTGTTTCATTACTATAATCAGTTGCTCCTATTTATGCTCCTACAAATGTAAAATTTAAAAATGCTGAAAACGAAACAAAAAATATAATATAGCAGAAAAAATATATAGCAGAAGCTATACTTCAATTCAGTAGATTAACAGATACTTGCATATTTACAAAAACGCTTATACCGTATAAAATAAGTAATTTAAGAGCTAAAAATGTGGTACCCTGCTATCTTAGATTACAAGACTGAAAATAGATAATTTTTCAATTATTTGTAGCACAGGGTTGAATTGTGGGGTCCTTGACACTCTCTGAGCTTGGTGATTTTCTGGCAACATTTCATTACCAAACTAGGTAATATCATCAGTGCTGCTTAAGTTATTCATGATGAGAATAATAAGGGAATTTCAAAAACTTCTAGAAATCTGACCTACTAACAAACTGCATGGAGTAAAATTATACAATCCAATTTGTCTAATGTTCAAGGATGTGATGAATATCCTTGCAAAATCATATTTTGATTCTTATAAAAAAAAATCTTACCGTTTCAGGTACATTAGCATCACTCGTAGCAGAGAAGTTCCTACTGCTGCTCTGGGTGGGGCCCCTGGCCACAACCAAATGTAAAGAGCCTGTGGACTGTTGGAGCAACAGGATTGCCTGTTGATGAGAAATGTTCAGGTCCAATGGTGTATGATTTACAGCCAATATCTGATCATTTTCCTTTAACCTTTGATCCCTTGGAAAAAACACAAGTGATAGTTACAGGATAAAATGGTTACAGGATAATACAACTAACACAACTCACATGAATATTAAACATTAGCAAGCAGATTCTTGCGTACAGGGGCAAAATGTGATATTGCATTAAGTCACCATTTATGTACTTATTTTTTGAGTACATACAATTGGCAGGTTTTGTAAAGCATGCTAAATTATAAAATTATAGAGTACAATGGTTGGGTTCGCATAACATACTAATTCAAAGCCATTCAACTAACCAGCCAAACAGCATTATTCTACAATATTATATCTGTATATGAAGCGAGTTACAGTGTTGGGTATGATCAATGTAAATTGCCACCAAATTCCCAAATCCAGACAAAGGCTTGATCAGCACACTACACTAAACAACGTTGTGATTTGGTTGTTTTAGTCTGGTCTTTAATTATAGCTATAGTATGATGTCATTCACTCTCTGCCAATGTTTCATAAATATGTCAAATAGACAACTGTGAATTGTGCTGTACCAATTGGAGGAGTATCAACTATAACATTCGGATTATCTACATTTATGACCAAGTTTATCTAAGTAGTATCAGGTTATCTAAGAAGTATCAGGTCATGAACTACTGTTAACGATGACATGTCTTTCTTTCAAAAATTAAATTCTGTGTTAATAAAGCACTCATTAACCATATAACTCAGTTCTATCTAGGAAGACTACAAACTCTATATCACCAACAATGATTATGCTTTCAAATGGCCTCTTGTCTATCATCAAGTCAGATTCATTCTAACTTTTCCACTGTGATTTGTTTTATTTCTTCATCATACCATGTTTTTCTTGGTTAAAAACCAAGAAGTATAATTGGAACTATTGAAGAAGAGAGGGCAAAAGAACAAAGACATGTCTCACCCTTCCAGCAGGAAATCAGAACTTCAGAACCATGACAAAATAACTCCCAGAAGATGTCAAGAAATAATTTAAGTTGCATCAGCCTCTTCAATGTATTCTTAACAGAGAACAATACTGTGTACTCATCACAACAGAACTACAGGTTGTCCTTGACTTAAACCATTTGTTTAGTGACCAAACGGCTGTGAAAAAAGTGACTTATGATCATTTTTCACATTCAGGACCATTGCAATCTTCCCATTTGGACCAAAATTTGGATGCTTGGCAACTGACTCATATTTATGATGGTTGTAGTGTCCTGAGGTCACGTGATCACCTTTTGCGACCTTCAGACAAAGTCAACCGGGGGGGGGAGGGAGCCAAATTTACTTAACAAGCGTGTTATCCACTTAACAACTGCACTGATTAACTGTGTCAAGAAAGGTCGTAAAATTGAGCACTTAACCGTTGTCTTGCTCAGCACTGGAAATTTTGGGTTCAATTTGGTCATAAGTGGAGAACTTCTTGTATTGAAATTATTTCCTAACTATACCACCATTATCCTATTTATCATTACAAAACTGACATGAGGTGCATTCTTCTAATCTGATCCAGTTATCATCTGGCCAGGGAAACTATAAAATTTATAAATTTTCAATAGGACATCACAGAGTATCTCAAGAAGTCTTGCTAAATTTCTTACCTGGCTGCTATGCTTCCTGGCTGTACTTCTTTCACAAAGATACCAACTTCTCCAAAGCTTTGATTTTTAAGAGCAATCACACTAAATCCAAGGCCCCTATTAAATGGTTTCTCTATATCTATATACTCAATTTGCCTGCCCTGTGAAGGAGAAAAGTAATGTTATAAATACAATATTTCCACAATTGCAAAATATCATTTTCTATTAAGAAAAGATGATTAAGATTTGCATTAGAAGGGCGGTATAGAAATAAAATTATTATTATTATTATTATTATTATTATTATTATTATTATTATTATTATTATTATTATTATTATTACAACGTGAGCGAAAAAATCTTCCAAACCTGCAGAATCTAAAAAGTATTTTCTTCATGGTCAAAACATCAATCATTTATTTATATTTATTTATATTTCATATACCTAAACCTAACGTCTCCCTCAAAGATGTTCTTTGGGATGTGTTCAATATAATATAACTGTTAAATAAAATGAAGTATATAAATTAACATTAGAAATTAAAAATTAGGGTTAAAAATTCAAAATTTTAGAATAATGAGAATTAAACACCAAAAGGAGAGGCCATTTAGCATCAAATTATTACATGCGGGCAAGACTCACAATGAACTAGTCAGCCCTATGGCTGCGAGATCCTCCCATAAAAGAGGCTGCAGAGCCAACATTTGACCAATTTACAGAAGGTCAAGAGATTGGGGGCTTTTTTCACCTCTTGGCACAAGATATTTGCCAAAATGAGGGCAACGGCAGGGAAGCCTCTCTTCCTAGACCAGCCTATTCCATTTGCTATAAAGCCATATTAAATGTGTGTGTGTGTGTGTGTGTGTGTGTGTGTATATAATTTTATACATATACACACATACACATACTATATATATCTATATACACACACACACACATGTACTATATATATACGTACACACACGCTATATATATATATGTGTTTATGTAAGTTTTCACAGGTATGTATGTGTGTATAGTTAATATTTTGGGTTTCTTCCCGTGTAATTGTGGATATATCCCTAAAAGGGTAGAAGCAACGTTTCGGCAGAATCCCATCTGCCATCATCAGGCTTATGTCAGCAGTCATTTTGCACTAACAAATATATATATATATATATACACACACACACACACACATACATACATAGTGTGTATATCACAAAATAATTCTCTTTTGGAGGTTTTCAAACACTTGAGGTAAATAATAAGGTGAATATTGAATATTGACATGTTCACTTACTCATTGATTCAATAATATTCCAGAAAGTTCTTTTTCAAACTGAACTTACACTTGTGTGTGTGTGTGTGTGTGTGTTAAGTGTTTTTCTGTCAAAGCACCTGATCTACCCCAATATGGGAGGGAGCATACTGCTTCCCTTTCGCCTTTCAGCTTCAATCCAGGAGCCCTCAAGCAGTCGCATTAATGACAAACCATTTTTATACCAAGTTTTTTTATATATATATATATATATATATACACACACACACATATACATATACACACACATACACATATACACATACATACATACATATACATACATATATACACACACACACCATTTCTCCTAAATAAATACAGCTAGTCTTCGCTTAGTGATGGTAATTTCCATTGCTAAGCAATGCAGCCATAAAGCATAACATTATGTGACTGCATCACTTATGCAATGGCAATCCTGTGAATCTCCATTGCCGTTGTTAAGCAAGGATCGTGGGTCACAAAGTGAGGAGTCCAAATTGCATTCATCTTGTTTTGAATTAGAGTTATTAATTGCCATAAAGTATAAGTAACTTTAATCAATATCAAAATACTATCTTTGGTAAGCAGCACCAAGCTTGGTGGTACTTTATGCCTGTGAGGGGTCTTAAGCTGTGTATATATACTAAGGAAGCAATGAGATTTGGTTTTTAAAAATTAATTCATGATTCAGAAACTGACTTTAGTAGTCATACAGTTTGGAATAAAAAGGAAACTTTTATATAATGCACTGCTGCATTTTTACCTTTGCCATCTTTTGGATTATCAAATTAAATTCATCCACTTCAAATCTGGAAATTAGCGGAGCCATTTGCTTATCATTCTGGATGTTCCCATTAACAACAGGATGTGGGTCAGCATCAAATACCAGCAACCCTCGCCTCGTAAAATCAAAATCCACTGAACGATCTGGAGGCATATACCTAAGCTGTGAAGAACAAGACAAGACGTTACCACAAATTCTAAATACTTAACAATTAATAGAAAATAATAGTATTAGTGGGCATATAGTACTGCTTAAATAAGATGGAAGTTCAATTTGAAAAACAACTTTCCTTTCTGGAATATTACGGAATCAATGGATAAGTGAACATGTCAACATTCAGCTTATTATTTACCTCAAATGTATGAAACCCTCAAGAGAGAATTATTTTGTAACTAAAAGCAAGATAGAAAAAAATAATTTTCCTGAATTGTTAATATAAATTGACCTTTATATTATTTTCTTTATATTATATTAAATAAATAAATATATTTATTTATATTATATATTATAATATTATATTCTTTATATTATATTATATTCTTGTTATTTCATGTTCTTTGTTTCCTCACATAAAAGAACTTTTAAACTCCAGAAAGAATAAACTTTTCAGGATTGTTGGGGTATTTTTATTTTTGGGAAATACATAATCCAGCCAATCCAATTGTGAAAAAGTAACAGATAATACAGGTAGTCCTTGATTTACGACAATAATTGAGCCTAACATTTTTGTTGCTAAACAAGACATTTGTTAATTACGGGAGCTGCATGGCGCTCCCACATAACACCACTCCTGCGCGAGCTGCACTGGCTCCCAGTGGTCTTCCGGGTGCGCTTCAAGGTGTTGGTTACCACCTTTAAAGCGCTCCACGGCACAGGACCTAGTTATCTTCGAGACCGCCTGCTGCTACCGACAACCTCCCATCGACCCATGCGCTCCCACAGAGAGGGCCTCCTCGGGGTGCCATCAGCCAAACAATGTAGGCTGGTGACCCCCAGGGGGAGGGCCTTCTCTGTGGGGGCACCTACCCTATGGAACCAGCTGCCCCCTGAGATAAGGAGAATCCAAGACCTCGGTGCCTTCCGCTGTGCCCTTAAAAGTTTCTTTTTTCATCAAGCCGGGCTGGCTTAACATATTTTTAAATTTTAGATTTTTAATTGGTTTGTCATTTTAAACTGGGGCCAAATTAATATATATTCTTTTAATTTTTCTTAATGTTTATATTGTATGTTTTTATCTGGCTGTACACCGCCCTGAGTCCCTTGGGAGAAGGTGCGGTATATAAATTTGAAATAAAATAAATAAAATAAAATAAATAAATAAATGAGTTTTGCCCTATTTTACAGAAGGTCGTAAAAAGTGATCATATTATCCCGGGACATTGCAACCATCATAAATATGAGTCAATTGCCAAGCGTCTGATTTTTGATCACATGACCATGGGGATGCTGCAAGTATCATAAGTGTGAAAAATGGTCATGTCACTTTTTTCAGTGACATAACTTTGAACAATCACCAAATGAACTGTTGTCAAGGACTACTTTTAATGAGATTGATCTGTATGTATTTTCTCAGAATGATATAATTGATCATAGTGATCTGCATCTTCATTTTCAAAGACAAAAAAAAATCACAACAATCCACAAAACTTCTTTTAATGTTCATGGACAAATCATTAGTGTCTCTTCATTCTGCTCCTGTCCTCACACCACACATTTTAGAACCAGGGGATTTTGGATTAGAAGCTAGGAGACCATAAATTCTAATCAGTGGTGAAATTCAAATTTTTTTACTACCGGTTCTGTGGGCGTGGCTTGGTGGGCATGGTGTGGCTTGGTGGGTGTGGCTTGATGGGCATGGCAGGGGAAGGATACTGCAAAATCCCCATTCCCAACCCACTCTGGGGACAGCCAGAGGTGGTATTAGCCGGTTCTCTGAACTACTCAAAATTTCTGCTACCGGTTCTCCGGAACCTGTCAGAACCTGCTGAATTTCACCCTGATTCTAATCCTGCCTTAAGCACAGAAACCACTTAGATCAGGGGTGAAATGTAAAATTTGTTACTACCGGTTCTGTGGGCGTGGCTTGGTGGGTGAAAATTTATCAACAAAACTGCATGGACTCATTTATATGGTCACTAAGAATCAAGATTAACTTGAAGATTTTTTAAAAAGTTAGAGCGAACAGAATATCTGAAACTGGATAGCATTTCTTTTCTATCAGAGACATTTCTGGCTCTGAGGCTTAGGCGCTTTGCTTTTGAAAACTGACAAGAAAATATGGCACTATAATGATTTATAGCTTTTTAAAGAAATGGTGTGCATCAGCAATTCATGAGGGACTAAACTGTAACCATATATGTTTTAATAACATGCTACTTCCTAAAGCTTTCTTACAAGGTTGGAATATAAGCCCATATAAATAAAAAGCATCCTGTAATTCTGAATCAAATAAAATACAGTTTAAACACATTTTGGCATAGGAGTTACCACAAAAGTCACAAAACCAGTCTCTGTTGTAGACTGTTGAGACAAGAATACAGTCTTTATGACCGCTATTAACTGAAGTGATGTAATGCTTTAGGGAATATCAGGTGAAGACTGGAGATGATCCAGATAAATATATCTTCAAAATTACAGTGGCAGCTGCTATACATAATACTGTAATATCTTATATGCAATAGAAGACTATTTACTTTGGCCCATTTCGGGGTGCAACTATTAGGGCAATAACAGAAATATAAGATTCTCACATGAAAGCTGAACTTGTTTTTATTCAAACTTAGAGGTAGAATCTGTCTCACAACTGCTATTAAAATGTCTATTGCACATTCAATGGTGATCAGGTTTCATATTTCCAATCGTTAATAGCACTAATTGCCAATGTGATGAAGGCTGTTACTCTTCTCCTGGCTGATTACCTTTCATAAACCTCTAAGAAGGTTGCAAAATTCTTATCCATAACTATAGCTGCTAAAAGCCACTTGGTTCCTCCTTTATGCTATTCACTGTTACCTGCTAATTGCTTTAGAATTTTCTTGCAATTTAAAATTTTTATTTTATACGGTAGTTATTGTATAACATGCTGATTTTTCATTATTTTTCATCTGGGACCATTTATATTTTTAAAAAAGTTCGATTTGCGGCTGTTTCTTGTCTTAAACCAAGCCTATTCCACAACAATGTTTATACCAATGTTATTGTGGAGACAAATCATGTAAATGCTCTGAGATCTTCATCAGAAAATCAGGATAAAAATATAATAAATAAACCTTGATCTAATTCTTAGTGCTGTATCTTTTAATAAAGTGTTCTTAATTATTTTTTAACTGTCAAAGTTGTTCAGTTCTGTCATGTATTTTCACACATAGGTAATCCTTGATTTATGACTACAATTGGGACTAAAATCTCGGTCACTAAGCAAAGCAGTTGTTAAGTGAGATAGTGTGACTACTTCACTCAATGACTGCAATCCCAGTTGTGATCATTAAGCAATCTCCCAGATTGTTAAATGGAACATGCATGGAAGGGAACTGCTCTGATGGACTGTCTCAAAGGAGTTTGGATATTCTGGATCTGAGTTCCATTTCTGCTCCCCTTGGTAGCTCCTTTTGGTAGGCCATCAGCCAGGCCCCAGTGATGAGAGGAAGTCCTCTCAGCAGACAGGTGCAGTTGCAACCTTCCTTGCTGGCCTCCCAACTGACTTTGGCACTAAAGATTGCAAATGTGATCCCATGATCATGAGGCACTTGGCAACCAGTTGTAAGTGGGAACAGGCTGCCAAGCATCCAGATCGTAATCACGAATATGAGGGGGACAGCTGAAAATGTAATATGGGCTAAAAAAAAACTTTCCAAGGCTGTCTTAACTTTTGCCATGTCAAATTTGTCACGACCGGTATATTTCTTCTAACAGGTCATAATTATGCTGGATGTGGAGTTTTAACAGACCAGAAAACAAAGCTGGAAGGGACTTTAGAGGTTTTCTAATCCAATTCCCTGCTCAAGCAGGAAACGCTATACCATTCCAGCCAAATGATGTCCAATCTCTTCTTAAAAACCTCTAGTGATGGAGCACCCACAACTGATTATTTGGTAGTTTGGATGAGTTAAAGCCTATACATTTCAAAGTTGCCAAGATTGAGAATGTCTAGATCAGAGGTCTTCAAACTTGGCAGCTTTGAGACTTGTGGACTTCAACTCCCAGAATTGGTGCAAAGCTGGCTGGAGAATTCTGGGAGTTGAAGTCCACAGGTCTCAAAGCTGCCAAGTTTGAAGACCTCTGGTCTAGATGAAGTGGCAGGTAGAGAAAGCAGAATGTTGCTGAACTTCAAGTATATTAGTTATCGCCCCTTTTTTTTTCTTCTTCCTCCATAAAACCATCATGTCTGATGAAAAGCTTTTGGAAACTCAGAATCCTGTCCACTATTTATATAACTTCAGCTATTTCAATCAAACTACTAAAGAATGAATTACAGGAGAGGGAAAAGATGCAGAATAGGAATAGGGCGGAGCAGAACAGACCAGAACAGAATTCTTAATTTGCGAAGTGAGATTGGACACACAAGGAATTTGTCCCTAGTGCAAAGCTCTCAGTGTACATACAAACAGCAAAGTGATAAGTCATCTTGGTGTGATCTTGATACTACCCACAAACATGACTACTACTTCAAAACTATCTTGCAAACATAACCAATCAGCATTCAACAAATCTTTCTCTTTTATTACTCACTTGTTCTTTCAGCTGCTTTATTGACTGCTGAAGAGTCAGCACGTGGTTGAATAAAGGATTCTTAAGAGTATTGTATAGAAAAGCCAGATTATCACTGTGTGAAGTGTCTCCTTTCTCATGAAGTTTCATTAGTAGACGCTCCAGAATCCTCAGGATCTGCTGCTTATCTGTTAGATCCCCCAAAACATCATAACAATTCATTAAAAAAACATACTTAAGATAATTGAAATGTTTCAACCATGTGATAAGCTTATTTCAAACACACTTACCTGCAATTGGATTTTCTGGCATCCTGGCTTATCTGCACTGTAGATTCAATATGGCCTAAATTTTAAAATGAAGATGCAGATTAAGCTTTGTTTTTCAACATATCTTACTCTGAAGAACATAAATGGCAAGTACACATTTACATATACATATGCCTATTTAGACTTATTGCCGCTTTAAAGGGTACAGAAAGAAGCGCATATTGTATTTCTTTCTGTACCCTTTCAATGTGGCAATAACTCTAAACAGATATAGATGTGTGTAAAAAGTATTACCGTGGGTTCAAAGAAGATTTCAATCTTAAACAAGCAATAAGATTATTTAAATACATCTAGTCCTCAATTTACATTTAGTGACCAAAGTTATAACAGCATTTAAAAAACAGTGACTTATGACCATTTTTCATAAACCACTTATGGCCATTGCAATATCCCCATGATCCTATGATCAAAATCTGGATACTTGGCAACTGGCATGTATTTATGATGGTTGCAGTGCCCTGGGGTCATTTGCTCACCTTTTGCAACTTTCTGACAATCAAAGTCAATGAGAAGCCAGATTCACTGAACATCTTTGTTACTAACTTAACAACTGTAGTGATTCACTTAACAACTGTGTCAAGAAAGGTGGTAAAATGGGGCAAAACCCACTTAAAACTGCCTTGCCTAGCAACCAAAATTTTGGGCTCAATTGTGTTCATAAATCATACCTGTACTGTCTTGTTACACACAGAGATGGAATCTAGACCAACACAAAAAGTTTTCCATCATGTTGCCAGCTATTACTTAAATTAATATTACTTTCATATACATACAATTGTAATATGTATAAACTGGGCACTGCTACCAATAGAATCAAGAATCATAGACAAATAGAATCATACCAAGATAATCATACCAAGATAAACAGAAGCCATGTTAACAAAATTTGTGTTTTATCCTTGGCTTCCCATGTTGAATGCAAAATTCTCTCTTCTACAGATAAATAAATCAGTTCAGAGTAATACTGGCCAATTTACATCGCACAGTATTCAGGAACATTTTCTGTTTATATTTATGTACAATGTTAGGCCACCATGTTATGTTTGCATAGCATGATGAGTGCAGGAACAAAATTGGGATTTGCATTCCATATTTTCCATCGCTCTCAGCTAAAAATAAAACCTCATATGTGAACTGACAATGGAATGGAATTGTTTAGAACTGTAATTTACAATCATTATCATTTTCCAATTAGGAAGTCCTTGCTCTGTTGTATAGTGAAAACATACCGATCTTATACACGCTTAAATATAAAGCTTGGTTAAGTCTGCCTTAAATCTCAGTTATCTCATGGATACATCCATGTATCTTCTTCCAGATGTTCTCTCAACTTGTCAGTCTAGTTTACAGTTCCAGTACTAACCCAGGCCCAACCCTCCTTATTTTTAGAGCATATGGAAGATCAGTTTTTTTAAAAAAAGTCTCACCAAATGGAAATCCTTAGGCTGCAACCGTGTACCAAGTAAGAATAAAATCCTACAGACTTCAAATAGGATTACTTTCAGATACACATGTAACATTGGCTGACATCGTTGAGCACTAAGGAATAAAATCAGTCACATATAAGTTAAATAAGTCACACTGTGTTTATTTAATGGTATTTGCAGATGATTATTAGTATGCCTATTCAGAAACTGTACTGAGTTTACTCCCTGGATAGGTATGTGTTTTATTACATCACAGTCTCAAGTTTCTTTATTTGGCCTTTTGTGTATTAATAGTTACATATACATGACAGGCCTTTTAAAACCTGACTGCACTTGGAAACTCACTGGGATTTCTCAAGCATAAAGTGATCCTGCAATTGCAAAAGATGCAAATTCACCAACAAGAGAAACTGAAAATTCTAGGATATTACGTATATCGATCATCGTCTCAGCTCTCTTCTGATTTGAAGCATCCTTACACAACAGATACCACAGTAAATACACCCTTGTCTTGGACAATAATATTGTACTTGTCCCAGTGTGTCCAGATTTAAGTAGAACATTGAAAGAATCCCCTCTTTTATTTTTTTTTAAAAAATAACACTGAAATTTTGCTTCATTTGTGAGTTTTAGACTGGGTGTTAAAAATGCACTCTGAAGCAAATCTATCTTAATATTGATTTCATAATGAAGTTACCTAGCATTAGTACTGTACTTAATTTCCAAAGTGAAAAAAAAAAAGCTATCCTAAAAAACATACTTTCCATTCCTCTTTTCTTCCATATGTTCTTTGCTATTCACTATTTGTTATATCTACACTTAGTGAACTAGGGTTACTCTTATAAAAGTAATCTTTTTGTGAGACACACACACAGAGAGAGAGAGAGAATTCTGGGAACTGAATTGCACAAGTCTGGGGTTCCCCCAACACATAGGAATATCAAACCTTGACGTTCTCCATCAATGATGGTGGGTTGTTTGGCCCAGAAACAGCCGATCGATTGAGGATCAATACAGAGATCCCCAAGGAAGGAGGCTCCCTTTTCTTATGTTCACTTTTGGGTTTATTCCCCGAATCCAGTTACCAGCAAGGAAAAAGCACCCAAGCCAGCAGAGATCCAAGCCCAGCCTCTAATCAAAGGTCAGCACTGTTGGATCGTTGGCACCTAAAAACTGCACAACCACAACACAGCCGCTGCTGTTGAACCTTTACCGACCAAGCTGAAAATATCCCGTCACGCCTGTACTTTGCACTTAGCTTTAGCGGGCTTTTAAGCTGTTCCCTCAGGCTTCAACCCGGGCGACTTTCAAAAATAAGCCACGATCAGGAGACGGGGGCAAAGTCACCCGGAGGAAATCCAGTAGGATTTCCAGCATCTATAGGGGCAATCGGGGTCGGATCTAGTCAGATAATAGCTCCAGACGCCTCAAAGAAAAACCCTACCGCCAGGAGGGAGGGACGCCCCACCATAAAGGCTCGGCAAACCCGCCCACCCGAAGCGCAACAAGTTCTCCCCAAGTCTTTTTTTTTTTTTCCCTTCTTCCCATTACGCTTCCAGCCTTCAGGAAGTGGGCGGCGGGCGCAACGCAAAAGCCCGACTGGCTGCATCTTCCAGCACTTGCCTGCCTGCCTGTCTGTTGGTTCTCCTCCCCCTGCCAGAGGGTCAACGGGGGCTCCCCGGAGGCGGGAAGGTGGCCGGGAGCGCGCCCGGATCGCCAGAAAAGCTTACCTGCTCGGCTGGGTGGGGGGCGAGACCTGTCGCTGGGCGATCCTGGCTTGTTCTTACCTGGGCGGAAGCGGGAGTTTGGTTTTTACCCGCACCTCTCCTTGCAACACAGGAAGCCGGCAGCGAGGGGGAGCCGCTGGGCGCTGAAGGAAATCAAGCCGGGCTCCGACGGGATTCGGGGTGGACGAGGGCGAGAAGCGGGGGATCGCTGAGGTCGCGGAGTGGAAGAGTCGTTCCCCCCCCCCCGGGGGTGCCGCTGGGTTTAGTTTTGGGGCAAGAAGGCTCGGATCCTTCCCTAAGAATACGGAGATTCAAGGGAAGCAAGGAGCGGGAAGGGGGAAATCGGAGACCCACGGGAGAAATTGGCCACCCTTGCAGGAATGGCTGGGTGGAGAACGTGGTTGGGTCGTGGGAACACGGTCCGTCGTGGACAATCAAAGGAAGGAGGCTCCGACTCCGTAGATTTTCGTTTAGGTGTAAATGGGGAAGAGGCTGATAAGCAAACTTTTGTGGGCTGAGGACTGTTGTTTGTGAAACCAGCCGCAAAATTCAAGCTAAAACCCAATGTTCAGACATCACAAGACGCCAGCTGTTTTGTTGCATAACTATACTTGCTTTTTAAAATCTATATTTAATAGAATTACATAGAAACAGGAAGGGATGTGTCTTTTTAAGAGAAGAAATGGCCTTTGGATGACCTTAAATAGCTGTGAGAAAATAGTTTTTTTCCTTTCCAAAAAGAACATCAATCCCGCCCTTTAATTTTTTTAAAGGAAGGCTGTATAGATAATAGGTAAATTGTTAGCTTCATGAAATGCCAATTGGGATTTTTTTCCTTTTCCCTATTAATTTTTTCTCTGTACGTACTTATATTGTACCCATTACATTGTACATACTTATATTGTACCCACTACATTGTACGTATTTATATTGTACCCAACTTAATAGCAATCACTTATGTGCAAATCCTACTTATGAAATTGCTACACCAGGTTTGTGAAAAGCTATTGTTATAGAACATTGTGGTTTTTTTGTGTTAAGGTTGATTTCCTGTCCAGAAACATGAAAGCAGCAAGGGACACTCCTATGTTACTGGTCAAAGATCAACTCTTAACCCGTATTATGCTTAAATTAATTTGATCTGGGACTGAGCATTATGTCAAAACATTTCTTTGGCGTCCAAGAGTTTCTGGATTCATTTAATTTCTAGATCCCTTCAGTGCTAGGATATCTGCCAAGAACTAAAGATCAACTGCAGAGGTTCTTCCCTAGGTGCCCCTCCAAATGAGATCCAGTATGTCAGTTTTAGGATAATATTAGCATCTCAGTTTGCAAATGACCATAGCAAAGCAATTAGTTTATGAATTTCTTGGTACTAAGTAAAACATTTGTTTTATTGGTAGAATCATGTATATATCACTTTATTGTGTTATTGGTTGACTATACTGTTTTAATGCTTTCAGAAATGTTATTACAGTAGTCCTTGACTTCCAACCACAATTGAGCCCCACATTTCTGTTGCTGAGGGAGACATTTGTTAACTGAGTTTTGCCCCATTTTATGATCTTTCTTGCCACAGTCAAGTGAATCATTGCAGTTGTTAAGTTAGTAACACAGTTGTTAAGTGAATATGGCTTCCCCATTAATCTTGCTTGTCAGAAGGTTGTAAAAGGTGATCACATGACTCCAGGACATTGCAACCATCATAAATAGGAGTCAGTTGCCAAGTAACAGAGTTGGAAGGGCACCTTGGAGGTCATCTAGTCCAACCCCCTGCTCACGCAGGACACCTGTACTAGGGATTCGAACCGCCGAACTGCCAACCTTTCTGATCAACAAGCTCAGTGTCTTAGCCACTGAGCCACCTAGTCAGGCTGATCACTTGACCATGTGGATGCTGCATGGTCGTAAGTGTGAAAAATAGTCATAAGTCAACTTTTTTTCAGAGCCGTTGTAACTGAACGGTCACTAAATGACTGTTGTAAGTCAAAGACTACCTGCATTTGCTATTGTGGCTACTTCACATTCTTAACTATTGTAAAGCTATCATGTCCACATTTCATCAGAATTCATTTCCACACCAGACAAATTGCATATATTCTACTCTCCACATGAGACTGCAAATGACCCCATATCTCCCCTTTTTATGCTAGAGGAATTTTTTAATTTTTGTTTTAACTGAGACAGAACTTGCTGGCCAAAGCTGAAGATCTGTTCTTGACCTCAGATTTAATTTGGAATATACAGGAATAATGGATTTTCAGTAAAAAATTGATATATATTCCAAAAGAGCATCAATTCTCAATAGGAAAAGAAAAAAAGTTAGTAATATGACATTATTGTTTTCTTTAATTTTATCTTCATGTGTAATTTTGGTACCAGACGTTGATTGATTCTATACCATTTCAAGAACTGTGTTTTGTAAATTGGACCTTCAGTACCAGTATAGCAGAACTTTATGTAAAAAAGAGCAGATTAACATCTTTTTGTGATGTGCCAGAGATTCTAATTTCTATTTTTGTGTGCAAAATTTGTTTAAGATGTCCCAAAGGTGCTTTTTCAAAAGACTACTGAATTATGTTTGTTTTTTCCTTGAAAATGTTTCGCTTCTCATCCATGAAACTTCTTCAATTCTGAAGCTAAAACCGAAGAACCTTCTTGGAAGAGAAGTGAAACATCTTCAAGGAAAAAAACAAAGTCCAGTTGCTTTTTGAAAAAGCACCTTTGGGACAACCACAACATAGAAACTTGAGAATCTCCAGAGACATTCTTTTAAGATGATGTCTGTGATCTGAACAACTACATATAGTTTTATCTCCTTTGACACTAAAGTTTTGTTTGTTGACTACATAATATAAAAAAAAATATTTTTTACATGTTTTCCGTTTGCCCCCCTAATAAAGTGTGATTTTAACTATCTCTTGTGAAATTTGTGTCCCCACAGAGGGGGTAAGGAGCTAACATTCTTTTAGCCAAATGCCTCAGTGCTATAAGGTTGGCCAGTGGCAGTATAGAATTTATTTTCTTTTTTCATTGCTTTTTTTTTTCCTTTTAATGTGCTAGAAAGAAACACAGATTGTGAGAGACTTAGTTTTCTGGCTCACCAAGTGAGGCACTTCTTGGAAAATAGACAGTACCAGTATGCCTGGATTAACCACCATTCATTCAGTGACTGAATTTGCATCAGCACTGAACAAGTGATACTAATGATTGGTGCTTGTAGGGTTGGCTGTTGCAGTGCGCCTGCATCACGTGATCACAATTTGGGCATGCAGCCAGTTTTTCAACCATTGCAGCATCCCATGTTCACATAAATGTGACTGCAATCTTCCCTGAGGTCTTCCCACAAGCAAAGTTATGGGAAAGCCAGTAGGAATAATCAAGTCCCGGTTCCACGAGGTCCTTGCTTAACGACAATAGTTGAGACTGCTGGAAGTGTTGGTGCAAACAAAATTAAAGTCACATTACACTTTTTCACTATGTTACTTATCAATGGGAAACTCTGTTTCCAATTCCAGTCATTAAGCAAGGATTAGCTACAGTTGCAATAACTACCAAACTACTGCATCAAAGGACTTAAATTGTATAGACCCAGAAGGTTTCTGGGAGAAGATATTTCCATTCATTTACCTACAAGCTCAGTCCTGCCACTGCAGTTACAGAGAATCTATTTTAGTGTATTTCCTCAGCTGTTGTTTATGTTTTATGCTATTATATTGTTTTTAAACCACTCAGAATTGTTATGAGATGGGAGGCTGAATAAATGGAAGAAAATAAATTATCTGTTGCTTTTTATTTTTTTACACTTTATCTCTTATTTTAAAAACCCAGATCCTTTGGGACTTAGGTTGTGTATAAAACATTAATAAATAACAGAGACATTAAGAAGCATAAGTGCTTCATAGCTTTTGAAAACCAAGAATTTGTGTGGATCAAGCTATTAAAGATATGCAAACCAAGTGAATCAATACATTCAAAATTTCTATTGAGATCATGTAATTGTCATTTTCTTTACATGATGAAGATTCAATAAAAGAGTATTGATTGTTACTGACATTGCAGTTTTAGTTTAATGGCAATAGGATGTGGAAAATTTACATGAAGCTTATATTCAGACAATAATGCAGTGGGTGGGTTTATACATCAAACTAAGAAAAAATCAAATCACATTATGGTTTAATATTGTAGTTAGGTATCTTTGCAGTAAAATAAGTTGTAAGATAATAGATGGAACTGTATGGAAATGATCTTTATGTTTACCCATAATGCCATAAAAGCTCTCCTGAAAAAGATGAAATGGCAGTGACAAAAATCATAATAAGGCCTGGTCACCAATTCTCCCAAACACATGTGTGACATGGGAAATTTGATCTTACCCAAAAACTGAGTGAATCATTATCAGGTAGTAATAAAGTAGATTTTTTGTCATGAATGGACCCATGTGATGTTTATATTTCTATCAATTGTTATTATACTGATGTTTTTAATTTTCTGATGCTCGGGTTGCTCTGGTGAGTTTGGGCAGCTTTACAAATTGAATGAAATCAATCAAAGGCTGGTCTTTCTTATTCGCTTGCTTGAATAACCCCCAATAGCCATCAGCCCAATTAAAAAAAGGACAAGGTGCTGAGGTGACAAAAATCTCTGAAATTATAGTAAATTAAATGGATGTTAAACAAGGTTGTGTTCCTACATTACCCAGTTTTTATTTGAACTGTTCTGTACAGGCTTTATCAACCAGCAAACTTCCTTGCCAAGTAGTAACACAGAGAC